ACCCCAGCGGGGCTGGGCCAGGGCAGAGGCCAAGGGCAGGTCAGGGGCCCTGCAGGGGGCCAGCCACAGCTCCCCTGGCCGGCGCCAGTCAGGCCCCCTGGAGGCAGGGGGAGGGGTGGGGACAAGAGCCCAGTGCCCCTGCCCCAGAGGTTGCCTACTCACTTGGCGACCCTGGACCATCATGTCCCCTGACTGGACTTCAGTGGCCCCATCTATATAGTGGGCTCACCAGAGCCACCACTTGGGCTACCGTGGGGTGTCACTGAAATCATGGGGGGGAGGAAACAGGGACCAGAAACCCATTGCTGCTTCCTGGCCCAGAACCCTGCCCAAGGCTGGGTGGAGGGCCCGGTAGGCAGAGGGCAGCCAGCCTCTGGGCACCCTCATTCCTTCACATAGGCCTGGCCAAAGGCACCCAGGAGCTCCCAGCTCCCAGCTCCCAACTGTAGCGCTCTGGTCTTATCATGTTACCGATTCTGGGAGTCACCCAGCCTCTCCCTCTGCCTCCCGCCTAGTCAAGAGTGAGTAATTTCTACTTAAGTCTCACATCTGTACTCTCCTCTCTGCCTGGCTCTGGCCAAGGGTTTGCGCTTGCCAGCTCTTGACCGGGTCACCGTCACAGCTTGCAAAGCTCTGTCCCTGCCTCCAGGTCTTTTTATCTCAGCTACCCTCTGCCTGCCCTGTACTAGAACATTCGTTCAGCAAAGGCCACTGGCCTCCATTCCTTCCGTGCACACAGGATGATGACCAGGCGGACACACGGGGTCTCTGCTTGCACAGAGCTCCCAGGCTAGGGGGACAGGTCTGTAGGTAATAGGGGACCAAGCACGATAATACCACGTGTGATAAGTACTGAGACAATGAAACGAGGTGGGGAAGGTTTCTGAAAAGTCTGATTCTATGTCCCTTCTCTGCTTAAAACCCGTCTGAAGGAAATAGCTGAGTTGAGGGGAAATGTACAACAAAGATAAAGCTCATACAAATTGATCAAAAGGTTAAGACTCCGAGAGATAAAAGGGAAACGAGCCACCAGAAAAGACTGCAGGAAGGAGGGAACCCAACTGGGTACAAGAGGCTCCGGGGAAGGTTCAACCTCAGGCACGGAAGGAAACCAAATGAAAAAACCAAGGTAACAACAGAAAACAAGGTAACACTTCCCACTTATTACATTAGTAAAATGTTCTCAAAATGAGAACACCCAGTGCTGGCAAGGGTGCTGTGAAACCGGCCTGCTGCTCTGTTGCTGCTTCTGGAGGATTCTCTGTTGGCCCTTTTGGAAATTAATTTGGTAATATGCATCCAGAGCTAGAAGGAAATTCATACTCTCTGGCCACGTTTGGGAATCGACCCTAAGGAACTAAGTAAAAGAAGGCCAAGCTAGCCTGGCCAGTGTGGCTCAGTGGTTGAGCATCAACCTATGAACCAAGAGGTCACAGTTCGATTCCCAGTCAGGGCACATGCCGGGGTTGCAGGCTTGATCCCCAGTGGGGGGCGTGCGGGAGGCAGCTGATCCATGATTCTGTCATCATTGATGTTTCTATCTCTCTCTCCCTCTCCCTTTCACTCTGAAATTAATAAAAAAAATATTTTTTTTAAAAAGGCAGAGCTCTGTGCATAGGACGGGCGCCACAGGCCATGTGGAGTGGAGGGTTCAAGCCACTGGAAGGCCAACATTTAGGTTGGTCAAGTTTAGGGCAGCTACTGGACTCCTCTCAGACCAAAGTAAGATGAGAAAACTCAGGAAGTAACGCTGGGAAGAGCCGGGCTGCCTCAAAGGGGCCTCTAGTCACCCCTCTCCCCTTCCTCCCTCCCTGGCCCAGTGGGTCGCCAGCCTGGGTCTAATCTCTGGCCATAGCCCACCATGTCCAAGGCTCTGGATTGAGTCCCACCACCAGCATCCAGGGGCCTCAGGCAGCTGGGTTGTGTCCCCCTTCCCTCAGCCCAGGCCTCCCTCCTCTGCATCCTGTCCACATTCTGCTCTTTCTTCACCCCTCACCCCCAGGTAGCCTTTGTCCATCCACTGGGCCAGCTTGTGGTCTTCCTCCTCTGTGCTCCGGACCTCAGTTCTCTGAGGCTGCAATGCCCAAGAACCGAAGTTTGGAAGCTGGGTTGGCGGTGGGGGTCAGAGCAGGGCCCAGTCCCTCTGTCCACATCCTCTTAGGCAGGAAATCTGTCTTCTAGGGTCTCCTATCCCTCCATCCTCGCTCCCAGAGGCAGAGATAGGCTGCCACCTGGTCAAGGGCCCCAAGCCTGGGGGCTCCATCCAGGCCTGATGCACCTGTGGGTGGAACCCCAGGGTGTCCAGGGGCTGAAGGCACCAAGAGGTTCTGCCATGTGCCAGCCTAGGGTGCCTGGTTTGGCTGTGTTGTAGGCAGTGTGTGTGTGGGGGGGCATCTGACAGGAAGGAAGAGAGACACATGCCCCCACCTACACTGTTATGTGGTTGGAGAGAAGGTCGCTGACCCCCAAGGAGGCAGGAGGTCCTGAGATGCCCAGGCATGCTTGTGCAGAGGGCCTCCTGGAGGAGGTGGCGGGAGCCTGGCTGGGAAGATGAGGAGGAGGGAGGCAGCTTCTGCGATGGTGAAGGGAGAGGAAGCTGGGCTCCAGGCACATCCCCCCCGCCCCCCCGCCCCCCTGT